CTTCCTCTGGAAGTTCATTCCACACACGAACCACCCTCTGTGTAAGGAAGTTGCCCCCCATGTCCTGTTTAAATCTTTCTCCTCTCACCTTAAAAATATGCTCCCTAGTCTTGAAATCCCCCCAACCCTGGGGGAAAAGACACCCGCCATTCACCTTATCTATGTCCCTCGTGATTTTATAAATCTCTATAAGGTCACCCCTCAACCTCCTACGTTCCAGAGAAAAAAGTCCCAGCCTCTCCTTATAACTCAAACCCTCCATTCCCGGCAACATCTTGGTAAATATTTGCTGAACCCTCTCCAGCTTAATAGTATCCTTCCTATAACAGGGCAACCAGAACTGGACACAGTAAACCAGAACTCCATCAACCATCACGTTGAATTAGACCCTGTGTACAAACCATTGAGAAACAAAGCTGTAACTAACACCAACCACCCCAGCAAACAGAGGCATAGAAATAACAAGCGGGATAGAACATCGACGCTTCACCGGTGGAGCACTGACAATGTTACCTAGCAGGGTGACAAACCGTTTGTAACCAAACCCACCAGCTCGGCGAGCATGTCTACAAACTCGTGCTGAATGCCTTCTTAACCAGCCAGTTGCCTGCCACTTCAACACATCACCATGTTCCCTGAGCAACATCTCTGTCTCGGGCTGGCTCCAGTGCTGCAGCAAAACTCTGCAGAAGTTGGAAGGACAGCACCTCATTTTCCACTTGGGGGCTTTGAAATCTTCAGGACTCAATATTGAGTTCAATAATTTTAGGACCCTGAACACTTTCTTCCATGTCCTTTACCCACACCCACATCCCAGACCATGTCATCACATGGACTGCTTTCAATACAGCCAGCTCATTTTCATCCAATAATGGTCCTCATTATCAGCTTTTCTTTCTCCCAAGTTCACCATTTACCACCATCTCCATCTGTCACTTACTCCCTCGCTGTGCCACTCCACTTCCTGGTCTTCAACATATGTACCATCTTTTCCTCACCACAAGCTGTCAATCAGGGTCACTGGACCTGAAACATTAACTCTGCTTTCTCTGCACAGATGCTGAGTTTCTCCACCAATTTCAGTTTCTGTTTGACATTTCCAGCGTCTCCAGTTCATTGTTTTATTTTTTATTATTATTCATTCTCGGGATGAGGGCATCGGTGGAGAGGTCAAGATTTATTGCCCCATCCCTAACTGCCCAGAGGACAGTTATGAATGAACCACACTGCTGTGGGTCTGGAGTCACATGTAGGCCCAGACCAGGTAAGGATGGCAGTTTCCTTCCCTAAAGGGCATTAGTGAACCAGAAGGGTTTTTCCAACAATGGATTCATGGTCATCATTAGATTCTAAACTCCAGATATTTATTGAATTCATATTCCACCATCTGCTGTGGTGGGATTTGAAGCCGGGTCCTCAGAACATTATCCAGGTCTCTGGACTAAATGTCTAAAGAAAACCATTTCCATTTACACAGCACCTGGAACATGACAAAAATTCACAATAAAAGATGATGCACCAGAACTTTATTTAAAGTGATTAAACAGGGCGACCAGAACTGGACACGGAAAACAGGAACTCCATCAACAAACACATCGAATTAGACCCTATGTACACATCACTGATAAGTCACACAAGGTGGCAATAGGAGCAGGTGACAAGAAAAAAGAAACTTATTTAAGGCTTCACGGAGGATCTGAGGGGTGGGAGAAAGACGGGGAAGTTCAGCATGCATTCTCATTGAGTGTTGATTTTGATGTGATTTATTATTGTACCTATGTACAGTGAAAAGTTTTGTTTTGCGTGCAGTACAGACAGATCACAGCGTACAAAGATGATAGAACAGAGCGGGGACTACAAAGCTATGGCTGCACAGGAGGTGCAGAAAAGCAAGATCAACACTAAATGTGAAATTAGAGAGGTCCATTCAGAAGAGCAATAACAGCGGGGAAGAAGGTGTTCTTGAATCTGTTGGTCTGTGTGTTTAAGCGGAGCTACCAAGAGTGTTTTGATTTAAAACTGGTTTCCCAAGACAGCCAGAATCACGCTTAAACAAAGTGGCCTTGAGGAACTGCAAGGCTAGAATAATGAGGCAGTGCGTAGACGAAGGCGTTTGAAAATAGTTAAGAATGAGATGCAACATTTCGAGATAAAGTGCAAAGTCAGGATGCAGTATGTGGAAAGAGAAACAATTCGCCGACCTTGAATTATTCACAGGATGTGGGTGTTGCAGGAAAAGACAACATTTTGTTGCCCATCTTTCTAACTGTCCTTGAACTGAATGGCTTGTTAGGTCATTTCAGAGGGCAGCTTAGAGTCAGCAACTAAAGAGAAAAACAGGAAAATATCTGAATGACACATACAGGGGGGGGTCCCCAGTTTAAGAACATCCCACTTATGAATGTCGTACTTACGAATGCAATCCTGTACGTGGTTTTAAAATTTAAAGAACTGGCTGCTCTCCGTCGTGTTCGGACTTGCGAACAAATTGACTTGGCAGAAAGTTTCAGAACAGAGCTCATTATTCGCAATCCCAGGGGCTGACTGTTCTGCCCAGAGGGTTAAAAAAAAGGCACCGAAAGAAGGGTCCAGACCCGAAATGTCAGCCTTCCTGCTCCTCTGATGCTGCCTGGCCTACTGTGTTCATCCAGCTCCACGCTGTATTATCTCTGACTCCAGCATCTGCCGTTCTTGCTATCTCTCTTAAACAAAAGAGCACAGTAGGTTTAGATTTAGATTCAGGTTTTGTTGTCATTTACGGGGTATAAAAGTACAGGGAAAACGTGGGTCTCTGGATTAAATGTCTAAAGAAAACCATTTCCATTTACATAGCACCTGGAGCATGATGCCAAGTCACACAAGGTGGCAATAGGAACAGGTGACAAGAAAAAAAAAACTTATCTAAGGCATCATGGAGGATCTGAGGGGGAGAGAAAGGTGGAGAAGTTCAGCCTGCATTCTCATAGAGTGTTGATTTTGATTTGATTTATCATTGTCACATCCACCACTTCCTCTGGCAGCTCTTTCCACACACGAACCACCCCCTGTGTAAAAAAAATTTGCCCCTCATGCCTTTTTTTTTAATCTTTCTCCTCTCACCTTTAAAAAACGCCCCCTAGTCTTGTACTCCCTCACCCTAGGGAAAAGACACCTGGCATTCACCTCATCTATACCCCTCATTATTTTATAAACCTCTAGAAGGTCACCTCTCAACCTCCCACGCTCCAGTGAAAAAAAGTCCCGGCCTATCCATCTTCTCCTTACAACTCAAACCCTCCATTCCTGACAACATCCTTGTAAATCTTTTGCGAACCCTCTCCAGTTTAATAATATCCTTCCTATAACAGGGAGAGCAGAACTGCGCACAGTGCACCAGAAGAGGCCTCACCAACATCCTGTACAAATTCAACATGAAGTCCCAGAAAGTTCTTAGCAATGAAGACGAGGTGGGTAAATGCCTTCTTTACCATCCTATCCATCTGTGACGCAACTTTCAATGAATTATGTACCTGGACCTCTCGCCCTCTCTGTCCTCCAACACTACTCAAGGCCCTGTTGTGAATGGTATAAGTCCTGCCCTTGTTTGTTTTACCAAAATGCAACGCAGCATTCACTCATTTTTCTGGCGTTTCCTTCCATGCAGTGATCCTTGGAAATGCTGATGCTCCATTTTGACGCATGTGAGATGAGGCAAATTAGGACATCTCTCGTCTTTGAGTAATTCAACTTGTCAAGTATGCTTCAAATTTGAGCAAGTCCCTTCATTTCCAAACAATGCTTTTTAAGATTTAAGCCCAGAGTGGGTAAGGACGACAGATTTAAGCCCAGAGTGGGTAAGGACGACAGATTTAGGCCCAGAGTGGGTATGGATGACAGTTGCAGGCCCAGAGTGTGTAAGGATGACAGATTTAGGCCCAGAGTGGGTAAGGACGACAGATTTAAGCCCAGAGTGGGTAAGGACGACAGATTTAGGCCCAGAGTGGGTAAGGACGACAGATTTAGGCCCAG